ACAGAACACACAGATGTTTTGCAATTACAGAACAGCTAATTTTTCTTAATAAATTATATCATAACAAAAGCATTCTCATTTAATAATGGATAAAGTTTTGTTGTTTTTGTTTGTTTTTATCACTTGAAAATACTTTGATGTAAGTGACTGATTCAATATATAAAATTGTTGCATCAAATTTTTACAGAACTCATTTTAACTTACCAATACGTTGTGTTTGATTTGTTGCTTATGTTTATTCAACTGTTTTTTTGTTTGTTTTTGTTTTTTGTTTGTTTTTGTTTATTCACAAAAATTATACATAATAACATTGTATACATAATTATACACATATACAATGACATAATTCATAATTTAACAAATTCAATTTGAGATATTCGTATGTATTAGAGTAACAACGTACATAAACACACAAAGTGAAAAAAGCTTGAAAGTATCTAAAGGTTAGTATACAGGGCTGGGAATCAAAACTGCGTCGTATCCTACAAAATGTAAACAAACGCCGCCATTGTATGATTTTGTTTATAACTCTTTTTGTTGGAAATGCCTGAACACCAAATATATGTATTAACACGCTACACTATTTTCCGCTTCGTTCGGTATATGTTGCTTGCACAACTTTTTTGTACAACAAAAATTATAGCGAACTTGCAACTCGAAGCGGAGCAGAATCTCGTGGCCACGAGATTAATAAAAACTCACAAATGTCACCTTTGTGCCACCGTAGAATTTCCATTACGCCAGGCATATAACCCTTCAGTACGGTGGTACAAAGGTGACATGTGTGTGTGTTTTTATTTATCTCGTGGCCACGAGATACTATGGCGTGGCCACCAGTTACTAAGTTGGACCACGAGATAGCTAAGTCATGGCCACGAGATAATATGTCGTGGCCACGAGTTACTGAGTCGTGGCCACGAGATAGCTAACGTGTTCTTGTTACTTGTTTACAAGTAAAGAAGATTATAAACCAATTTGTTTTTGTATAGTACCAAGAATACTTTCAAGTGTTTCAACTGTAAGACTTATTGCAACACTGTTTTTTCAGCGTTAATGTACATACAAAGGGATGTAACCGCTTCAAAAAAGCGCACTACTTTTTGTATTTGCAATTAACAGCATCAGGGTCTGAAATTTGGCAACCATTATTTGTTTGGTCTGACGAGACAAACAAATAAAAACTTGCGTCTTCAATCTAGTAGACACAGAAGGGAGTGAACTCATTGTATTAAGTGACCAGTGCAGAGGATAGAAAGTAATTTCAAGGACAGAAATAACAAAGTAATAAAAAATAAAGCTACTTCTAGATCTATAGACCTTTTTTCAATACGATTTTCCATAGCAACCGATGTTGCATTTCGCGCATGCGCATTCTGCGTAGGGCAAAAGCGCAATAACGATACACTATGTCACGGTTCAGAACTGTTCACTTAATAGGAAGCGACCGGATAGCTCAATCGGTAGACCCTCGGTACGGTATTCCGAGGGTCCCGGGTTCGGGTCCTGGTCAGGCTGCACATTTTTCTCACCCTGTGACATTTGGCGCCCAACGTGGGGCCGTGACTGAATACAGCTCAGAGTCTAATTCACATTGCTCTGTAACTCTGTGAAATTCGAGGTCGAATTTCAATATAGCAGGGGAGTATGTCACGGTTCAGAACTGTTCACTTTATAGGGGAGAAGTTGTGTAAGCGGCCGGATAGCTCAATCGGTAGAGCCTCGGTAATGTATTGCGAGGGTCCCGGGTTCGAGCCCCGGTCAGGCTGCTAATTTTTCTCACCCTGTGACAACTACATTTAGCGTACTCGAAGGCTATCATAGACGTGATTATAAGTTTGTCACCCAGAAAACAGCATTTTTGTGATAAATTAAAGCGGTAAGTACTTCAAACATGAATTGATATTTATAACAGATATATAAAGTTAGCGGGACTAATAATTCAATGACCAAACGTCCTGTTCAAGGTATCATACAATGACTTTTTCCATCAGTAATTTAAACTGAAACTGCAGGGTGTTAAAGATACAATTTTATTACCCATGTATTACATAATATTATACAATCGGTATTCCTTTGACACGTGATCGAGTGACTGCTTAATTGTTATTTTAAAAATAAATAAATATATATTATTGTAAATACGGAGGCAGAATTTCATTTTTAACATTATTGGCATATACAAACAATATTCAAACGTATAACTAACTCAGCCGGAAACCCAGAAAAGGTTAGAAAAGGCAGTAAAATGACACATGTCTATTTTAAGAAAAGAGGTAATGAATATTTTTAAAATAGAGGTCATCTTAATGTAAGTCAAGGTCATGGTAACTTTCCTCTGATCAAGGACAGGACAACGAGCTGCGATAAATAATTATGGTACTTAAAATTAAAAAGTTAAGCAAAATACATATGTACAACCATTCAGAAGATCAAAATATATCAGTACTTCAAAATGGAAAAAAAAATCAATATCCTTTTCAATATAGTCGATGCATACCCCAAATAATTTAATTGAAATTCTGCAATATTTTGAACACCTACTTTACTTACCACCACGTTTGAGCGTTTAAATCTGTCCGCGCTGATCGTATCATAAGAAAAATCTCCTTTTGTACAACCTGTCATATCCAAAACTTTATATTTTTTATTTTAAAACAGTTTCTGACATACAACGATTACTTATACGCTACAAAAAAAAACCAAATCGAAAACAAAACAGCAAATATTGTACACGAAGCCCAGTCTTATATACAGTCAAGTAACTAGTTCCAGTTTAAGTCCAGTTTCTTCAATGTCTTTTTCATTGGAATATTTCTAATTCATAATGTAATACAATCTATGCATTACACTTAATAATTAGTTTGTAAAAAGTTTAAATACACTCATAAACACTTTCCATATGAACTACGTAAATAACCGAGTATCGAGTGAATACGAGTTGTTTCCCTTATCTCCGAACAATACAAATTAAGCCATTTTTAAACCGCTAGTTTGTTGTGATTAAATGTCCGATTTTATTTTTTTAAACCAATGGAAAGCTTGGGATCTTAGCTTTGTCACAGTATATAATTTTACATATCTTTGGATATCAAAGTATTTAAATTAACTGTTCGAAAACTTACTGAAAGTCGTCTGCTAGTTGGGGAAAGTGTTTATCGGTGTATTGTGCGTATGAATAAAAATAGCATAGAATATCATTAAACTTAAAGTGACATTATGCTCATATTTTCATTGTCAAGTTGAGCTGAATTGACTTTATTTTTCCAAAGATTGAATGTTTAAATGATGTTTGACCAACAGATTATTTTTGAAAACGTTTTGGATAAAATTTAAAAACTGCCTTAACTATAACAAGAGGGTCATGATGGTCCCAGATCGCTCACCTGACCCATCGACCGCATCCAAGCAATGTCTTCGACAAGTTTGATGACAACTGAGTCAAACATGTGACCTCTAGTGTGTTAAAAAGGATTTTCCATATTTGGCAATGTGACCTAATTTTTGACCAAAGACGACCCATATTCACACTTGACCTAGAAATCATCAAAATAACCTTCCTGACCATTTTCCAGGAAATTTGGATCAAAACTGCAGCCACTAGAGTGTAAATAAGCTTTTTCTATTTCTTAGTTTTTGACCGGAGATGACCAATCTTCGAACTTGACTTATATATCATCAAAACAACCCTCCTGACAAATTTCTAGAATATTTGAATCAAAACTGCAGCCACTTGAATGTTAACAAGCTTTTTCTGTTTTAGCTCCTGTCCCCTAGTTTTTGACCAGAGATGACACATTTTCGAACTTGACCTAGAAATCATCAAAACAACCTTCCTGACAAATTTCCAGAATATTTGAATCAAAACTGCAGCCACTAACATGTTTACAAGCTTTTCCTTTTTTCAGCACCGGTGACCTAGTTTTTGACCAAGACAACCCATCTTCAAACTTGACCTAGATATCATCAAAGCAACCTTCCTGACAAATTTCTAGAATATTTGAATCAAAACTGCAGCCACTAGAATGTTTACAAGCTTTTTCTTTTTTTAGCACCTGTGACCTAGTTTTTGACCAAAGATGACAAATCTTCAAACTTGACCTAGAAATCATCAAAACAACCTTCCTGACAAATTTCAAGAATATTTGAATCAAAACTGCAGCCACTAGAATGTTTACAAGCTTTTTCTTTTTTTAGCACCTGTGACCTAGTTTTTGACCGGAGATGACAAATCTTCAAACTTGACCTAGAAATCATCAAAACAACCTTCCTGACAAATTTCTAGAATATTTGAATCAAAACTGCAGCCACTAGAATGTTTACAAGCTTTTTCTTTTTTTAGCACCTGTGACCTAGTTTTTGACCGGAGATGACAAATCTTCAAACTTGACCTAGAAATCATCAAAACAACCTTCCTGACAAATTTCAAGAATATTTGAATCAAAACTGCAGCCACTAGAGTGTTAACAAGCTTTTTTTAGCACCTGTGACCTAGATTTTGACTGGGGATGACCCATCGTCGAAAAAGGGGCATCATTTTGTCAAAATGCTTGATAGAGTTACCTCCTCCTGTCTACAGGTTGGGGTCATGATGGTGAACAAGTGTGCAAAGTTTCAAAGCCATATGTCAATGGACTTTGAAATTACTTGAGGTATTACAAAATCTTTAACATAAGTGGTTACGCCGACGCAGACGCCGACGTCGACGCTCGGGTGACTGCAATAGCTCTACTTATTCTTATCGAATAGTCGAACTAAAAATGGAGGTACATTGGCATTTTGCAAACAATGCTCGGTTTCTATGCGTTACAACGATTTTCATTTAGATGGCATTTTACACAATAAAGATATTTATTCTTGAAAAACGGGGTACGGGAATGATCTGAAAATTTTCAAATAATAGAAGTACCAATTTATGTACCATATATGCATGAAAGTGTATCTGGTTGTATTCCTTGAAAGTCGTAATTAGCTTAAAAACATTTTAAATTAAATATATATACCGGTATGTTGCAATGAGTCCATGTTCTTTTCTGGCTTTTCTGCAAAAAGAGGAAATAATATATCCGTTACTATCGCAAAAATAGTAGTGAACATATGTTTGACTTTATTGGACACCGACATTGTAAAGTTCAAATGGCAACAGCTTATCTTTACTGTTGGGGTACAAATGGGTTAAAAACTTGTAACATATCCTTGAGACACGCTGTTTAGACCTATCTTTTTTTGTATAACATGTATCATTGACCTGAATACCTACATTTTTGTTAATTGAAGATTTGCTTGTCAAGAGATACTTATTTTAATGAAATAGAATTGCCACACGTAACTTCTTTCATCTAATTGTCCGTTTATTTACACGTGACTGTTATATTGCTGTTAAATGGCTATGTTAACGATACACATTATTGCCAGTTTTATTAATATGTTTCTGTTTTATTTGATAATTTCTGTTGAATGGTTATTCTTGCATAAAACTAAATGAGGTTTAAGAAAATTTTCACTCAGGGTCACGTTTTTTGTTTCTTTATTTTTTGTTTTATTTATTTATTTATTTTTTTTTGGGGGGGGGGTGGGGGGGGGGTTCTGTTCTTTTACGCAGAAACACTGCATCAGACAAGATAGCCCCTTCTTGCTCAGGATCTACATGCGTGCTTGCGCGTGCACGATAAAAAGTGAATTAACCCTTGTTAATAATAAAATTAGTTTGCATTATACACTTGTGTTGCTTATGATTCAACTGTCACGTGACTATGGTTATGATTTTATACATGCAAAATAGTCAATTTTATACCGAGAAAAAAGACTTGCGTCTTCAATCTTGCAGAGGCAGAACTCTTTATATTAAATGACAGTACAGTACACAGGATAGGGAGGAATTTCAATGATAGAAATAACAAAGTAATAAAAAATAATGCTACTTTTAGATCTGTCGAGTGTATTATAGTCATAAATACACGTCATAGACAGGTCGGAAAGTTATAATCGGCCCTAAAACGAAAAATACCCTTATGGTAATTTTCATAAGTGCTAAGTGTATTAACGTCCTATTGTATACTACAGCACACAGAATCATATATTGTATATGCAGAATGAAAACTGTATAATATAATTTATATCTTAGAATTTGATAACAAAAACATTATAAGCGAAAAATGGGTGTCATGAGGTGTGAGCCTTTTAAGCAGTTTATATTAGTACTAAATGTTTTAAATATGAAATTCTACAGTTAGTGGGGCGGGAAATAAGGTCTCTGCTGTCAAAATAGTGCAAATTATGATACAAGCATGAACTTTTCAGGAAATTATAATTAGACCATGTAGATTTCAAAAGAGAAGTGGGCCCAAAAATATCTCTGCTTATTCAAGATGGCCGCCATTTTTAAAATGGCCGCCGTATAAAATTAACGTACACAATAGCTCATCCATTACATTTTTACAGACCAGAAACTTACAAAAAGGCATGCATATAGTCTCTCCTTTTCAAAAGGTTAAATTTTACAAAATTTTGCTTTCATACCTCTTCAGAATCCAAGATGGCGTCCAATATGGCTGCCAATTTTAAAACTGATATATCTCTTTTATAGTATAATATGTTGCACATAGTATGCTTGTTTCCACATAAAATTGTTTAAATATATTATAAAAATGAAATTATAGGTTAACCACATTGTTATTAAAAAATTTAAGTTTTTTGTTCAAAAAGAAATATATAAAAATATGGAAAAAAAAGAAGAAAAAAATGTCATTCTTTGCATTTTTCTCCAACATGGTTTTATATATATGTGTACAAAATTCAAAAGGTTACTTAGTTTCTTATAGTGTATTTGATATTCAATCAACACTACCTTTTATTGTATAAATGTAACAAAACCATAAAATGTGAAGATTTTATACTTAGTCAAAGTGGGTTGAGTAAATTTATCCGACATTTGTAATACAAAATTTATCCGACAATTGTTATACAAAATAATGAAATTTGCAAAGGTAAGTAATATTCATCTTTTTTCCTTTTTTATATTTTTTATGAATTCATATGCAAATATTCACTGTAAAAATATTTTATTGTATTAAGGTATTTTTGTCTTCCTTCGGGTCTAGAGGGTGTGCTAAAATATCATTAAATGCAGATCCAATCATTTGAATATTTCAATTACTAGTATAAAATGTGTTTGCATGATATAAGTTGTTTCAATATTCTTAATATAATTTGTTAATTGTACGAAAGAAGACCGAATATACATCAAGGAAATATATATTTGATAAATTCATGCCTGTACATGAGTGAAATGTTGTCTATTTATGAATATAATTATTTCCTTGACAATTTAGTATTTGTACAAGCTTGTAACAGAATGATTCAAAGTTATATTTACTTGCACATCATTGTAACCAAGTATAATTGAATTAGTACTATCCATTTCTAATACCTTATGTAGACATACTATTTTCAAAAGATACAAAAACTAAGGCGACTTATACATCATATTATCTATGTGTGGTGAAATAGGTATCCATAATATCGCTTGACCTACATAGCTTATGTTTTGAAATCGGGAATTAATGACACTAGATCGCCTTAGTTCCGCTGATGGAAAAGGACTATAAGTCTTTAATACTGAAGTATGCTTAGATCATAATAATATGGAGTATCATTTTTTTCACCAAATACAGTCATAGTTTATAAACTATTGAAAAGAAACACGTCTCAGAACTTTTTTACACAATAAGACTAATATAACTTTATTCCAATAAGAAGTCATGTAAACTAAGTAATGTTGACCCTATGCCAACAGTTCATGAATTTATATTGCATCACAATGACATGATAAACGATATTTTTCTGCTCTTTTCGGAGAAGAATTTAAAACATAAGTCAATGTAAACTAAGTGACATCCAAGGGAAAGTCATTTGGACCGCTGGAGTATAATAAGCCACGAGGGGCACAGTTTTTAAAGACTTTTGTAGGGAGTCACATTCAAGTTAAAAAAAAAAAACAAAAAAAAACTACAATGCCTAGAGCTTAGATGGTCAACATATAACCTTACCAAGTAGAGGAAACCTCTTTTAAAGTTACATAAAACGTTTTTGGATCATGTACATGCAAAATAAAAAATGTTCTCAAAAAGCAAACAGAGCACAGGTATTAAGCATGTAGTATCACCTTGTGTCTTTATTAACTTATTACATGAGTCATGCTCAAAGAACCACCCAGGTTAACAGACTTGTATAGGAAAACACATTTAAAAATTCTAGCGTTAAACTATAAAGATTTGAACTAAGATATTTGGGATGTAGCATGATATAACATGCATAAGTTTGTGTGATACTACTGCATTTACAATGGGTATCACTTAATTTACAAAGACTACTGTAATAAAACCTACAGTACCCGAAGCATAGACATTATTCATGTAATATTTTTTATACTCTACAAATATTTGATAAATCATGGACAAGATTTTTAAGTCCTCTCGTGTGAAACATTTTTAGAAACTAGATATTGGGCATGTTTCTTTAAAAGCAACCTGATACAAATATTACACAAATCATGTGTGTTATGACGTAATTGACACGCTCAATATGATCGTGTTACCTTCCTTTATTAAAGAATTGAGACCTTTTTCCAACAATGATCTTAGGTGAGTGAACCAGGGTCATCATTACCCTCTTATTAAAGAAATAATGTGATATGATTACTTTAAGAAATACACTTAGTTTATATCTTAACTTTTCAAAAAACTGCATGCAAGCCATGCAATATCATTGACATACATATCTGTTTCTCATCACATAGATGCGGTGATGTGGCAGTAGCCTTTTTTTACTATGTAAGTTCAGACATTGAATGAAAAAAACAACATTATCTCATTTTGTTGGCTTTTAAGCCATGTTTATATTATAAATATGAAATTGTAAAGGAGTCAAAATATGCGTGTATCGACTACCTTTTTACCTTATATTCATGTACATGTTTGTCACTTAAAGCACGTTTACTTGATTTCTTGTCTTCTTATATATCTTTACAATTAACAATTAATATATAATATCAAATATGCTGAAACAAGAATTATCATGCAACTGAATGTATACACATTATTGTATGTGTATTTCTTGCCCGGAGATAGACAAAAATACCTTCATCCAATAAAGAGTACTTTTTGAGATGGGACATTTGTATAAGAATTCATAGAAAAGTAAAGAAAGGCAAAGAAATAGAATGGACTTAGTACTTACCTATGTATAATTTTGTGTTTTTCAATTACAATTATCAGAAACAATTACCACACCACTTTCACAAAATATAAAACCTACAGATTTTATGTTTTTACATTTTTACAGTAAAAACATGTTACATGTATTAATGGAATGTCAAATACAGTTTAAGAAATGAAGTAACTTTTTAATGTTGTACATTAGTTTAGAAAATCAAATTTGAGGAATATGCAAAAATTAGATTTTTTTTTTAAATATATTTTTTAGACAAAACTTTTGAAATGTTTACTTTTGTTAAGATTAACGTATAATTTGATTATCTCTTATATGTTTGAACACTTTTTTGTCATAAAAGATAATTTGTGCAACAACTTATACAGTAACTATAAAACTGATATAACAGTTTTGCACAAAATTGGCGGTCATATTGGACGCCATCTTGGATTTGGAAGAGGTATGAAGGCGAAATTTTGTAATATTTAAATTTTTGAATAGGAGAAACTATATGAATGCTTTTGTGTATGTTATAGGTCTGTACAAACAATTGGAATTAATGAGCTATTTTGTATGTTATGAAAATTTGAAAATGTCGGCCATCTTGAATGAGCAGAGATATTTTTAGACCCACTGTACTTTTGAAATCTACATGGTCAAAAGATGATTTCCTGAAAGTTTTATGCTTGTATCACTATTTGCACTATTTTTAATTTCCCGCCCCACTATAACCGCTGCAGGAGTTTGCAAACGTAAAACTAATCCAGTCGGGAACCCAGAAAAGTTTAGAAAACGCAGTAAAATGACACATCTCTATTTTTAGAAAAGGGGTAAAGAATATTTTTTAAAATAGAGGTCATATTAATGTAGGTAAATGTCATGGTAACTTTCCTCTGCTCAAGAACAGGACAACGGGCGGCGATAAATATGGTATACTTAAAATTAAACAGTTCAGCAAAATACAACCATTCAGAAGATCAAAATATATCAGTACTTCAACATAAAAAATCAATATTCTATTAAATATATTCGATACATACCCCGAATAATTTAATTGAAATTCTGCAATATTTTGAACACCGAATAAATTTGGATTATTTTACTTACCACCACGTTTGAGCGTTCAATCCTGTCCTCGCTGATCGGAGCATAAGGACAATCTTCTTTTGTACAACTAGTTCTGGCTTCCAAAACTTTATAAGCCGCTTTTTAACATTTTTGTTTTTCATCAGATGCGGCATTAAAGTTTTGGATTAGACCCGTTACGAAACCTAACCAGAATAACATAAGTTGATTTATTCTTGTTTTTCACTTGCAAATACACTTGACCCGATTAATTCTTGTGCATTTTACGGTAAAACAATTATTTAAATATCGTTCTATACCAATTCAAGTAATAAAATATTAATACCGTCATTAAAATTGCCTATTTAACTGTAAAACATCAATTTTCGCCGACTACAGTCGGCCATGACATTCAAGTGCCACGCGAGACCTCGTATGACGTCATTCGCGGGAAAAGATTTGAATAGAGTTGTGTACTATATTTAGAACATTTTGTTGACATGATTTCGATATTTTTATTCAAGATAATGTTTTTATTTATTTTCATAAATTTTTGAGTATTTAAATATGATTTTATTGAATATAACAGTCAGTAAATAACCTTTTTCAACATCTTAAAAAAAAGTAATCTATAAAAATATTGGAGGCACATGGGTTCATAAAGGTCAATCTCGTAATCACGTGGTCAAACATTTTGGCAATATGGCGGCCAAGTGCCGAAATTTTTTCCTGTCGGAAACTATTAGGTAGTTTATGTTCCTAATAAGATTTTTATTTGTCCATCCTTGGTTTATCAACAGATTATATATCGTTTTATCAAGGTATGCTTCACTTTACTTCGTGGCATGTTCGATAAATAAATACGAGCGTGTCAGATTCCTGGCACGATTATTGGTGGACTTTCCCTACGGGGTTATCTTCAGCGTTCACGTCATGTCATATATATAAACGGGTACGCTGAAGACCTTAAGCTATTGTACAACCTGTCATATCCAAAACTTTATATTCTCTCAAAAAGAGTTTCCTGACATATCACACAGTCAAAACAAAAATTACTTATACGCTACAAACTACAAAATCGAAAACGAAACTATGAAAATATTGTACACGAAACCCAGTCTTATATACAGTCAAGTACAGAACCAGTTCCAGTTTAAGTCCAGTTTCTTCAATGCGTTTTTCATTGAAATATTTCTGACGTTTGTAATGTAATACAATCCATGCATTAAACGTAGTGATTAGTTTATAAAATGTTTAAATTATACGTATGAATATAAATGGCATAGAATATTATTAAACTTAGACGAGTCCTCTCTTGTTTACGATCTTCTTTTATGCGATGTATGTTTTGTGTACTCGTTGTTCATCACGATCTAATATAGCAATATGCCGATGCCTTTTATATTTTCAATATAGATCTAATATTATTGATGCTAGTGTGTCAAATCATTTCGAAATTCAAGTACACATAATTAAAAAAAAACTTTTTTTGTCTGTCCATATTTTCAGCTATGGTTATTACTATATTTTTGTGTCTACGGAGTAGTGGCGGCATATAGGGATCACTTCTCCGTCGTCTGTATGTCCGCACTCACAGGAGAGTAATTATGTGGCTAGAGGAACAAAAGGTAACTGTTCTTTCTCTTGATGTCATTCATTCCGTAATGCTTTTATGTGGCTATTTTCTTTTGTGTGGCTAAAAAGAACAATAGAGAGAACAATGGAGTAGCCACATAATTACTCTACTGTTAGAACTTCCGTCTGTCTGTCCGTATGTCACAAAACTTGTCCGGACTAGTCCTCATAAACTACTGGTGCAATTTCATCCAAACTTTACAGGAATGATCGGTACCAAGTCTTGTTGGGCATATTGTCAGCACTTTCCGGTTCAATGATTTTTGTCAGAGTTATGGCCCTTTAATAATTTTTATTTTTAAAGTTTGTCCGGACTACTTCTCTTATACCACTAATGCAATTTCAATGAAACTTTACAGGATTGATCTGTAGCTCAAGTCCTTGCGCATATTCAAGGGTTTTCCGGTTGAATGATTTTTGGCCGAGTTATGGCCCTTTGATAAAATATGTTTTTCTCTGTGTGTTGCCAGATACACAAAAGCTTGTCCGGACTACTGCTCATAAACTACTAATGCAATTTCATCTAAACTTTACAGGAATGATCAGTACCAAGTCTAGTTGTGCATATTGTCAGCATTTTACGGTTCAATGATTTTTGTCAGAGTTATGGCCCTTTAATAATTTTTATTTTTAAAGTTTGTCCGGACTACTTCTCTTATACCACTAATGCAATTTCAATGAAACTTTACATGATTGATCTGTAGCTCAAGTCCTTGCGCATATTGCACGGGTTTTCCGGTTGAATGATTTTTGGCCGAGTTATGGCCCTTTGATAAAAAGATGTTTTTTTCTGTGTGTTGCCTGATACACAAAAGCTTGTCCGGACTACTGCTCATAAACTACTGGTGCAATTTCATCTAAACTCTACAGGAATGATCAGTACCAAGTCTAGTTGTGCATATTGTCAGCATTTTACGGTTCAATGATTTTTGTCAGAGTTATGGCCCTTTAATAATTTTTATTTTTAAAGTTTGTCCGGACTACTTCTCTTATACCATTAATGCAATTTCAATGAAACTTTACAGGATTGATCTGTAACTCAAGTCCTTGCGCATATTGCACGGGTTTTCCGGTTGAATGATTTTTGACCGAGTTATGGCCCTTTGATAAAAAGGTGTTTTTTTCTGTGTGTTGCCAGATACACAAAAGCTTGTCCGGACTACTACTACTGGTGCAATTTTATCCAAACTTTACAGGAATGATCAGTACCAAGTCTAGTTGTGTACTGTCCGACTGTCACAAAACTTGTCCCAACATGAAATTGGCCATCATGAGGCGACACATGACATGTGATCACTGACCGCTCTTGTTAAATATTTAAAATCAAAATGTCTCAATGTATAATAAAACTTCCCAATCTACTATATCAACATATCAATATCAATTACATTAGATATAACCACAAACATTGACATGCGTTCTTTTGTTATCAAAAAAGTTTTGAATCCACTATCAAAATTAGATAGGTGAGGGTGTAAAATAATTTCGCATGTGTTTTCCGTTATTATCATTTATGTATTGCTTATTATAATTGTTTGTTTGTTTCATTTTACGCCTTTTCCAAACAGTATTTCAGTCATATAGGCGGATAGTTTCCTAACCATCGTTCCTGGAGAGTTACACCAGTACTAGACTACCTTCCTCCGTGCGAAACTACCAAAGCATCTCCCCGGGACCCACGCCAGAGAGGTAACTGGATTAGAAGTCATCGACTCTTACCCCTCGACCACGGAGGCGGTTTTATGATTGTATGAACTAATTTTAACTTAACTTAATTTTAACTATTATAACTTTGTGTTGCTACATGCAATAACTGTAAATAACGTGTCGTTTATGTATGCACACAGAAAATATGAAAATAAAACTTGAAAACTTAGCGATGAATTCGTTGTATTCTAATCTGGGAATATTTGCACAGAGTTATGTTTATTCTGCAAGTCTCTGGTAATTTCTGTTGATAATCAGCTACATGTATGTCTAAAAATTTCATCTCAAATCTGAAGGCGCATATATTGCAACACAAAAGCCTCTGCCAAGCGGAAGCCACGCCAATCTGTGTTTTTTTTAATTTTTACTAAAAGCAAACAAATAAAAGGTTTAAACAAATCATTAAACAAGAGGGACAAGATGGCCCTAGATCGCTCACCTGACCCATCAAACTCAACCGAGCAATTACCTAGACAAGCATCCTGACCAAGTTTCATGACAGGCGAGTCAAAAATGTGACCACTAGTGTTTACAAGGATTTTCCATATTTGAGTAGTGTGACCTAGTTTTTGACCCCATATTCGAACTTGACCTAGAAATCATCAAAAGAAACATTCAGATCAATTTCCAGGATATTTGGATCAAAACAGTAGCCACTAGTGTTAACAAGAGTTTTCTATTTTTAGCTCCTGTGACCTAGTTTTTCATCCGAGATGACCCATGTTCGAACTCATCCCAGCAATTACCTAGAAAAGCATCCTGACCAACTTTGATGACAATTGAGACACAAGTGTGACCACCAGAGTGTTAACAAGCTTTTTCAATATTTGGGCGGTGTAACCTAGTTTTTGACCCCAGGTGACCAATATTCGAACTTGACTTTCAAACCAATTTCCAGGATATTTAGATCAAAACAGTAGCCACTAGTGTCAACAAAACTGATCTATTTTTAGCTCCTGTGACCTAGTTATTCATTCGAGATGACCCATGTTCAAACTCATTTGAGCAATTACCTAGACAAGCATCCTGACCGACTTTGATGACAATTGAGTCAAAAATGTGCCACTAGAGTGTTAAGTTTTTTCCATGTTTGGGCGATGTGACCTAGTTTTTGACCCCAGGTGACCAATATTGGAACATGACCAGAAATCAATAAATCAAACTTTCAGACCAATTTCAAGGATATTTGGATCAAAAAAGTAGCCACTAGAGTGTTAACAAGTTTTTATTATTTTTAGCTCCTGTGACATAGTTTTTCATCTGCGATGACCCATGTTTGAACTCATCCGAGCAATTACCTAGACAAGTATCCTGACAAAGTTTGATGATGACTGAGGCAAAAATGTGACGAACAAATGTTGATGGACGACGAAAATCTCACCCGAGCTAGCTCACGTGAGCTAAAAGGCAAAAAAAATCTTCTTTTTTTGGGGGGGGGGGGGGGGATGGTGTCAGAGATCATGTTTTTTTTTTAAATCATAATTTTATCCTTTTGTTACTTTAGGCACTTTTGTGACGCTTTATATTATATATACATGTATATCTTAAGTTTCAGGAAAATAGCTGACATGGTTTAAAAGATATAAAGATATTAAAGAAAACAAAAGACATAAAGATATTTATAATTTAAGGAAAATAAAACAGAAAGACATTACAGGAAAACAATCAGTACCAGACAAAATAGATGATCAGTATCACTTTATTTCATGTAAGTAATTTAAAAGAATATGTTTGATCTTTGCAACTTGAATAATTGCAAATATAACAGGCATACAAACAATCAGATAAAACAAGCTATATAGAATACATTCCTTGAGAAAAATACTATATTGGAACTGAATATGTCATGTCATATTGTTATAGATTATAGATAACAACAAACCGCAATTATAATTCCAAAGAGAACTTCAGCTTGTTTGGCTCAAAATCCAATCAAGTATGAAAATACTTTAACCCCTTTACCTAGGTATAACTAGAACAGACAGTGATTATAAGTATACAGCTAGATCAGCCTGCACAGATCAAACCCAGTCTGGCCAGGCTCTATACCATTGGCAGCTCAACTTTTGTATCAACTTAATAAGTTCCATAAAATTCAAATGGACCCTTCAAATGTTCTGAAGCAGGGCACTTTATGTGGGACACCTGAACCTCTCTAAAATAGGGAGTTAAAACGTCACCATATAGCTAGAACAATGACTCCTACGTACATCAAACATCAGAAAAAAATATTACGTATCTTAAATATATATCTTTCAACTTTCATACAGACTTTACAGTAAAAAAATAAATAACAAATTTACTTTGGTATGACCGACAAAATCAGGGATTTTTTCCAGGATTTTGGGAACATGATCCATACCCATGAAATTGGGAATTTCAGCTGGGAAAAAATGCATGACTGAAATTTTGCAGTGATGACATGGATGCAAACAATTACTGTCTATGATGGCATCTTCAAACATTTTAGCACTATTACACTGAAGAAGCCCTTATTTGCAAAGATTTTAGAATTTTTATTCAATATTTTTTTTGTAACTTTCAATTCCGAATTTTTTCCTGTCACTGTGGATTGGGAAAATAATATACTATTTTCAATTGGGAATATGACCCAATAACGGCTAAAAAATAAGCCAAAAAAAAACAACCTGAAACTTATATAATTCATTCCTTGACAAGTCTCGCCTCACATTAAAATCAGGTTTTACTTGTCATTGTAACAAAAATATTAAGTGGCTGTCTATAGTTCTCTGCTTATTTTCCTAGCTTCATGTGTACTCTTTAAAGAGACTTTTTCCTAGTTCCTCAATATCTCCATCAAAATAGAGCCAGCTTTTGAGCTTTAACACATAATAAAAATCCATTCTGCCAGAATCCGTTCGAGCCATGCTTTTTGGTAATTAATTTAGTTGGTACAGAAGCTGCAGCACCTATTTAATTAGAGCCTGTATGTCCAGCATTAAGCCCACATCAGTAAAAGATCCTATATTTCAAACCAGCTCTCCACATTTTACAATGTTTAACTTTATCTGTTGGTTTTTCCCGGACTTGGTACCACATTTCTGTAAAAACAAATACATCAAATAAAATAACATAGTTGTTGGAAATCATACATAAATTAACAAAATTAAATACTGTAACACTAGGAAAAGAGAGAGAGAGAGAGAGAGAGAGAGAGAGAGACACTATTACATCACTTTTTTGAAGATTAAATATTATACATGGTTATAATGATACATAAAATGTAATGACTGCATAAGAAATGACATTGTTTAAAGCTTATTTTCTATATTTAAAGTGGAAACACCCGTCATGTCAATCACTCAAAATAAACATGAGGGCCATGATGGCCCTGAGGTCGCTCACCTGTATATAGGCCCCTGGAGCGGGGCCAGTTTCAACCCCAGGGCTTTTATTTGAACAAACTTGGAAGACACCCATTAAAAGATGTTTCATGATGTTAAGTTTTTACTACCACACATATAACGAAAAACAATGACTTAACCTCCCCAGTTTAAACCCCAGGGCTTTTATTTGAACAAACTTTGTAGACACTTACTAGAAGATGTTTCATGCTTAATATCTATACTCTAGCTATTTGGTTTTTTTCAAAGAAGATTTTTAAGTTTTTGCTATACACATAAGGAAAATCAATTACCCCGGGGCGGGGCCAATTTTGACCCAAGGGATTTTATCTGAACAAACTTTGTAGACCCTCATTAGAAGATGTTTCATGCTTAGTATCTAAACTATAGCTATTTGGGTTTTTTCTTAGAAGATTTTTAAGTTTTTGCTAAACACATATAAGGAAAATCAATGACACTCTGGAGAGGGGCAAATTTCGACCCCAGGGTTTTTATTTGAACAAACTTGGTAGACACTCACTGGAAGATGTTACATGCCAAATATATAACCACCAAAGGAGCATTCCTGTGAAGTTTGGATGAAATTGACTTAGTGGTTTATGAGGAGATGTCATTTAAAGTAAAAGATTACTGACGGACAGAAGCCGGACGGACGCCGGACGAAAAGCAATCACAAAAGCTCACCCTGTCTTTTTTGTGACAGGCAACCTAAAAATTTGTTAACCAAGGATTTTTCTCTTTTGAAGCCAATATTCTGTGTGCACTTCCAAAAAAGTGAATACTAATCAGGTTTCTACACAATTCTACATGTAAAAACATTACTATCATTATGTTATAAATTTATTTATCACACATCTTACTATTACACTACTAAGGTGTTGGTTCCCATTAATACAATCATATTTCGACAAACAACTTGAATATTATTAAGCTGTAGCAGTATTATTAATTGATAGCATGGTCTTCTTACCTCTATTTTCCTTACAACGTCCATTCCTTCAATCACTTTTCCAAAAACAACATGTTTATTGTCCAGCCTGCAAAAAGTTAGTGGCCAAGTATGAAGACAATACACAAAGAACTTAACAAGAGGGCCAAGATGGCCCTAGATTGCTCACCTCACTCATCCCAACAATTACCTAGACAAGCATTCTGACCAAGTTTCCTGACAGGTGAGTCAAAAATGTGACCACTTGAGTGTTAACAAGGATTATCCATATTTGAGCAGTGTGACCTAGTTTTTGACCCCATGTGACCCATATTCGAACTTAAACTAGAAATCATCAAATCAAACTTTCAGACCAATATCCAGGATATTTGGATCAAAACAGTAGCCACTAGAGTGTTAACAAGATTTTTCTATTTTTAGCTCCTGTGACCTAATTTTTCATCCCAGATGACCTATGTTCGAACTCATTCAAACAGTTATCTAGACAAGCATCCTGACAAAGTTTCATGATAATTGAGTCAAAAATGTGACCACAAGGGTGTTAACAAGGTTTTTCCATATTTGGGCGGTGTGACTTAGTTTTTGATCCCAAGTGACCCATATTCGAACTTGACCTAGAAATCATCAAAAAATTTTTAGACCAATTTCCAGGATATTTGGATCAAAACAGTAAGCTACAAGAGCCATGAGTCAACATGGCCATCCCCCGCCGAATGTGTTTGCTCATTGGAAGAATGTATATATAGTAGAGCAGAGTACTTTTGGTAATGAAAACTGATGGCTATAGTGATTACAGATTTGAAACCTATGTGAATACTGATGGCTGAAAATAACAAAGGGCAATAACTGAAAAATAATGCAGGGTAGGTTATCATTCTTGTGTGCTGCGTACCTCCTCAGTAAAATCTATCCATGTATGAAGTTTCAAGTTGATACCTCAAATACTTTTTGGGAAAAAAATTGAATTGAAAAATTAAGTATGAAAAATAACAAAGGGCAATAACTCAAAAATTATAAAAGGTAGAGTTATCATTCTTTTTTCTTGTGCACTGCACACCTCCTGAGTTAGATCTATGCACCTATGAAGTTTCATAATGATATCTGAAAGGCCTTTTGAGTTATGCTCTGGACAAAAATTAATTTTGAAAAATAAAAAAGGGCAATAACTAAACAATTATGCAGGGTAGAGTTATCGTTATTGTGCACTGCACTCTTCCTCAATGAGATCCATCCACCTATGAAGTTTCAAGTTGATACCTCAAAAACTTTTTGAGATAAGCTCTGGACAAAATAGTATGAAAAAGAACAAAGGGCAATAACTAAAAAATTGTACAGGGAAGAGTTATCATTATTTTGCACAGAATTTCTCCTCAATAAAATCTATCCACCTATGACATTTCATGTTGACATCTCAAATACTTTTGAGTTATGCTCCACTCGGGTGAAAAATTATGTATGAAAAATAACAAAGGGCAATAACTCAAAAATTATAAAAGGTAGAGTTATCATTCTTGTGCAGTGCACACCTCTTGAGTGAGATCTATGCACCTATGAAGTTTCATTTTGATATCTCAAAGGCTTTTTGAGTTATGCTCTGGACAAAAATTAATTTTGAAAAATAACAAAGGGCAATAACTCAAAAATAATGCAGGGTAGAGTTATCAAATTCTTAAGCACTGCACTTCTCCTCAATGAGATCTATCCACCTTTGAATTTTCAAGTTGACACCTCAAATACTTTTAGAGATAAGCTCTGGACAAAATAGCATGAAAAAGTACAAAGGGCAATAACTAAACAAGGGTGCCATAGTCACAAAATACGCCCGTTTACGAAAGCTTTAGATGGAGATAGAGGCATAATGGATAAGTATTATCTAGCAAGCAAGTTTTTATTCTTGGCACTGTGTTGTTAAATGAACCTTAAAACAAATCAGTAGGGAAGATATGCACAGGATGTGTGACCTTTACCTTGGTCGCAGGGACCTGAATTTTATGCACGGCACTCAGCCTCACAATGATGAACATTTGTGCCAAATTATACTGAAATCCCTCTATGCATGTAGAAGTTTTGCTCCAGACAAGTGTTTTTCTATGAGCTCTAACTGTGACCTTCACTTTTGACCTAGAGACTTGGTTCATGTGCAGGGCACTACGTCTCATGGTGGTGAACAATTCTATAAAGTAACATTAAAATTCCTCCATGCATGTAGAAAATATGCTCCGGACAACATCTGGATATTTAATCATCTCCAGTGACCTTGACCTTGCAAATATTAACCTAAATTAAATGTGTCACACCTGTAGTCATGATAGTTACCATTTGTGCTACAATCCATCAATAAATGATGACTAAATGGTCCCTATACACATCTTCAAATTTTTATCTGAACTTTGACCTCTATGTGTAACCTTGACTTTGGTCGCAGGGATCTGAATTTTGCGTGCAACACTCAGCCTCACAATGGTGAACATTTGTGCCAAGTTATATTGAAATCCCCCTATGAATGTAGAAGTTTTGCTCCGGACAAGCATTTTTCAATGAGCTCTATGTGTGACCTTGACCTTTGACCTGGAGACCTGGATCATGCATGGAGCAATACATATCATGGTGGTGAACATTTCCATAAAGTATTATAAAAATTCTTCCATACATGTAGGAGATATGTACATGTAGGAGATATGCTCCAGACAAAATCTGGATATTTCACCATCTTTAGTGACCTTGACCTTGCATATATTGACCTAAAGTACATGTGTCACAGCCGTAGTCATGATAATGACCATTTGTGTTACAATCCCTCAATAAATGATGATTAAATCGTCCCTATACACATCTTCATATTTTTATCTAAACTTTGACCTCTATGTGTGACTTTGACCTTGGCTGCAGGGACCTGAATTTTGTGCGCGACACTCCGCCTCACAATGGTGAACATTTGTGCCAAGTTATTTTGAAATCCCTCTATGCATGTGGAAGTTTTGCTCCGGAAAAGCGTTTTTCAATGAGCTCTAAGTGTGACCTTGACCTTTGACCTAGATACCTAGTTTATGTGCGTCACATGGCTTCTCATAATGGTGAACATTTCTATGAAATTTCATTAAAATCCCTCCATGCGTGTAGGAGATATGCTCCGGACAAAATCTGGATATTTCATCATCTTTAGTGACCTTGACCTTGTATATATTGACCTAAATTATATGTATCACAGCCATAGTCTTGATAATGACCATTTGTGTTACAATCCCTCAATAAATGATGACTAAATGGTCCATATACACATCTTCATATTTTTATCTGAACTTTGACCTCTATGTGTGACCTTGACCGCAAGGACCTGAATCTTGCGCGCGACACTCCGCCTCACAATGGTGAACATTTGTGCCAAGTAATATTGAAATCCCTCTATACATGTGGAAGTTTTGCTCCGGACAAGCATTTTTCAATGAGCTCTAAGTGTGACCTTGACCTTTGACCTAGAGACCTGGTTCATGTGCGCGACACTGCTCCTCATAGTGGTGAACATTTCTATGAGGTTTCATTAAAATCCGTCCATACATGTAGGAGATATGCTCCGGACAAAATTGGTCGCCGCCCACCCGCCAGGGGCCTTCCCATAATACGTCCCGTTTTTCAAACAGGCGTATAAAAATTGTAAAGGGAAGAGTTATCAGTCTTGCGCACAACATTCCTCCTCAATAAGATCTATCCACCTATGACATTTCATGTTGATATCTCAAACACTTTTTGAGTTATGCTCCACTCAGGTGAAAAATTAAGTATGAAAAATAACAAAGGGCAATAACTCAAAAATTATGAAAGGTAGAGTTATCATTCTTGTGCAGTGCACACCTCCTGAGTGAGATCTATGCACCTATGAAGTTTCATGTTGATATCTCATAGGCTTTTGGAGTTATGCTCTGGACAAAAATCAATTTTGAAAAAAGGGCAATAACTCAAAAATCATGCAAGGTAGAGTTATCATTCTTGTGCACTGCACTCCTCCTCAATGAGGTCTATCCACCTATGAAGTTTCAAGTTGATAACTCAAATACTTTTAGAGATATGCTCCGGACAAAAATGTCGGACGGACGGTCGGACGGACGGAGACTATTTCTATATCCCCCGCCGCCTTTAATAAAGTTATGATCAAGGTTTAAGTTTGGGGATGGTAAAAAAGAGTTGAGCTAAAAATGAACGAAGGGCAAAACTCCAAAATTAAGCAAGGCAGAGTAACATTTCTTATACTCCACACTTCTACTCAATGAGATCTGTCAACCTACAAAGCTTCTTGTTAATTTCTCTTGTAGTTTCAGAGTTATGTCCCGGGCAAATAACAAAAGATGACAAAAATATTAATGATAATGTTATTTTAGTCAAATAACTTATATCATGAAAAATTTACTTTGTGATAAATAAGCCAAGCATTCATGTATGGTAATTATCAATGTATGATCATTATTAATGTACGATAATTACTAATGTATGATAATTATCATTGCATGATAATTATCAGAGCATGACAATTATCAATGTATGATAATCATCAATGTATAATAATTTTTAATGTATGATAAATATGTATCATGATAAAAAAAACTTCCTCCGTTTTCCCACATGTACAATCATAAACTTCTGAACACCAGTTGTTATATTTTAACTTGTATCTACCACAATCATCAAAACACATAACAGCTGGTGTTTACTTAGTAAAACAAACCTCTATATTACATACTGGTAGATATAAACAAATATCATTTATCATTTAATATAATCATTCATTCTATAAACAAAATCCAGGCTTTCCTTCTGACAAAAAATTAGGGCAAATTTTAGGGCAATATTTAAGAAATTTTAGGGCTAAAATAGGAATTTTAGGGTAAGTAAAAGAAATTTTAGGGCTAAAATTTGGAATTTTATAACTTAATGATGGCCCCAAAAGACCATGATATAGACTCAACTTTGCATATTTGACACAAAAGTAGCTCACAGATAAATGCTCAAAGTTATAAGTGTCCTGGAACAACCAATATCCAAGTAGTTGAACTGTTATTAGCCAATAGTAAATGGAAGGGCAAATTATGCTTTAAATCTATTTTAGCTATAAATGCACTTATCAACATTTATTCATTTTAAGGTTGGTACATTTTCAACAAGCTTTGATCTTTCTTAAAAAAACAATAAGAACGATATGACCCACTCAGGTCATTCCATGAAATGTTTTAACGTAAATTCAAACAGCAGGGTATTCATCACTAAAGAATTCTTTAAAGATAACTCAGGGCTACTAAAATTTTTAGAAAAACTTCACAACAGTGTCAATCTATTCAACGATTTTTAGTTGTTTTCTTTTTTTCCAGATTTTAAAAAACACTTAACTGGGGTGCAAAATGGTAAAGAATCCAATCATTACAGCCAGTTTACCTTACCCACTTTATAATATTACTAATATCATTATATGGAAACTTGTCTAGATCTGCTAGCTTGTATCACTTACAAAATATCTATTCTACAGTCATCACCTGAAAATAACTTGATCATAAATTTAGATTTTATCAAAAAAGGACCCCCACATACAGTCTGAAGTAATTTAGTGGTACCTCATAAATAGTTGCTTTAAATACACCTAAGACAGAGGTAAATGGCCACTAAAAAATTTAACTTGCTTGGGTTTTTTTAAACCTATTTTAGACAAGTTACTATTATGATATAGTCAAATGCAGACAATTTTCATTGTTCCATTTAAAACAAACAGTTTCTTATTGTTATTCTGGTAACATCTGGCAATTAATCAAGAATGGCATTTCTGCAGGAGCTGTAGTACATACAACATGTGACTATAGGCAATTTAGTCAGACATGACATCAGCGCCACTGGCTATGTTCAAATTTAGGTTGTGATTGAAAAATAGTTGTTTCGTGATATGTTATAACAAAAGATTAAAAAATAGGAATTTATGTAAAATAATAGGGCACTTTTAAGAATTCCCTTTGAATTTTTTTAAAGGAATTTCAGCCAAAATGAAAAAAAATAGGATTTTTTAGGAATTTTAGGGACGCTGGGCAGCCTGAAAATCTTATCTAATCTACAAATGTAGATATAGCAGATAAACATACACTTACCAGTCAGTTTTCTCTGTACATATAAAAAACTGTGACCCATTTGTATTTGGTCCTGAATTTGCCATTGACATTGTACCTGTCATATAAAGTAATAAATCAATGTTTATAATCGAGAGAAGCAAAAACAAACAAACAAACACATACTCAACAGTCTACTTTTCTCAGTATAGATACAAAACAGCACATTTTCAAAAAATAAAATGATAATTGAAGTAAAGGTCACATTGACCTTTAATCTTTTGATGATGTTGTAGAAATGCAATGATATAGGAAGTTTCTTTGTTTGTTTGTTTCATTTTTTACGCCTTTTCCCAAACAGTATTTCAGTCATATAGGCGGGTAGTTTTCTAACCATCGTTCCTGGAGAGTTACACCAGTACTAGACTACCTTTCTCTGTGCTAAATTACCAAAGCATCTCCAGGGGATCGAAATCATTGAAGTTTAGACTATTAAATTAATATATTTTTAACTAAAGCCCTATCAATTTAAAATTAAACATGATGATGCCTTTAATGTGTTAGGCCCAAAACCGGAAATTTTACTTTTTTTACAAAGGAAAAGAAGAAAAGATTAAACAAGTTGTGAGATTTCTCTTTAACTTGAAATATCAAATTTGTTACAGCAAATTAAGACAATTGAACACATGAGTCTCAGGATGCTACACTCAGGATGATGATCATTCAACAATTTGTTTTAGGTCAAGGAAAGGTGTAAAAAAATTCTATTTTCATTTAGTAAATTTTAAATAAAAACTAAGATAAAAAAAACTCCAGTATTTAACTTAGACAACTATATTCACAAGCCAGCTTACAATCTATCTCATTAATGTCAACAATCTTTTTTAGTTTAAATATTTAAACCAAGGCCCCTTTTTTCATGTCAATTTTCACAGCAGGAAACTTACACAAAATCATAACAAAACAAACAATACTTAACTACATAAATTATTATTCAGCACATAATGTAAAGAACTTGTCAATATATTTAAAAGGCTGTATAACTTGTTAAATTCAACAAATTAACAATTTTTTACCTAGTCATATTAGATCTATATGTATAATTTATTATACAGAAGAATTCAACCGGATATGCTATAAACAATTATTGTTTAAGTGGGTTATTAAAGCTGTAAACTTCTAGATGTGGAAACATGTTTTCTTTTCCAATCTCAAACTTTGAAATTAGAAAAACATTTCAGGTTTTAAATCTAAATCATTACAACACTGCATGTATTACAAACCAGGCTTTATACCACACAGCAGTTATGGTGTATAAATCTTTAAACAATCTGGCACCGTTATAATAATTATATGAGTGAAATGTTTTAGTTTCTCTCACAATGAATTACATAATTTACGCTCAATCGCTCATAAGGATCTTGTTCTGAAAAGTATACCTCATACTGATTATTTAAAGGATTTTTTTCTTATTTCAGTATTGACGTTTGGAATAAATTTCCTATTACTATCAAACAATGTTCGACTTAACAATCTTTCAAAAACAACTGTAAAATTTATTTTCTAAGTTTACAGCTAGATAAATGATGAAAATTGACCACTTTATATTTTGATTGTTGTAAATGTTGATATCATCCCTTTTTTTTCTTCTTTTTTTTTTAATCATTACAAATTTATCTATAATTACTATAATTAATTTTAGTGTCAGTCTGATGAATGAATGAATGTGAATGAATGAAAATACCTAACCTTTACAATCCAAAAAATTTGTTTATACAAAAAGATTTTAAATTTTGTATAGATCTATATTTTTTTCTTACTTATTGTTAAATCAGAAGGCCATACTGAAAATAAGTATACCTACTTACTGTGTAAACTTTGTATGATACCTACTATAAATGAAGATTTTATTATTATTATTATTATCATCATCATTATCATTATTATTATACTGTTTGTAGTTAATTTTTTGTATTCTAATATTGGTTTAAACATATCTATTTAAGCTTGATTGCAAAACAGTTTCTTGCAACTTATATCAATTACTTTCGAGTTGCTTCCTGGGGCCAACCAGTGCTGGTGTCATATGAAGAAACATGGTCATGACCCAATTCTCTTAAGGGGCATGTCTCCCAAAACTATGTATGGTCACTCATGTGAAGTTTCATTGAAATTACACCAGTAGCTTGACTGTGAAAGCCGGACAAGATTTTTCTATTTATAGCTCTGACGGACATTTTGTGCAGCAAAGCAGAACATGCTGTGATATTCACAACTACGGATGGTACTGAACTACTGTAAATTTTGGTGGAAATATCCGTTAAGCAGTTTGACCTGTGTTAGCTGGACACGATTTTTCTATTTTTTAGCTCTGGCAGCCATTTTGTGTGGCAAAGCAGAACATGCTGGTAATATGCACAACAAAGGATGGTAATGTTCACTCATGCAAAGTTTTATTGAAATCCTACCAGTAGCTTGACCTGAGAAAGCAGGACAAAATTTATCTATTTTTAGCTCTAGTGGCCATTTTGTGTAGCGAAGCAGAATATGCCAGTGATGTGCACATCTAGGGATGGTACTGATCAGTCCTGGAAAGTTTGGTTGATATCCCAACAGTAGTTTGACCTGTGAAAGCCGGACAAGATTTTTTTCTAAATTTAACTCAGGTGGCCATTTTGTGCAGGAAAGCGTAACGTGCTGGTGATGTGCATAACTAGGGATGGTACTGACCACTCCTGTAAAGTTTGTTTGAAATCCTAACAGTAGTTTTGACCTGTAAAGGCCGGACAAGATTTTTCTATTTTTAGCTCTGGCAGCCATTTTGTGCTGTAAAGCAGAACATGCTGGTGATGTGCACAACTAAGGATAATACTAATCACTTCTTTAAAGTTTGGCTGAAATCCAAACAGTAGTTTGACCTGTGAAAGCCGGACAAGATTTTTCTATTTTCAGCTCTGGCAGCCATTTTGTGTAACGAAGCATAACGTGCTGGTGATGTGCACAACAAGGTATGGTCTTGAACGCTCCTGTAAAGTTTGGTTAAAATCCCACAAGTACTTTGACCTCACGGTGTAGGCCGGACAAGATTTTTCATATTTTTTACCTCTGGCGGCCATTTTGTACAGCAAAGCAGAACATTGTGGTGTTGTCACAACTAGGGATGGTACTTATCACTCCTATAAAGTTTGGTTGAAATCAAACCAGTAGTTTGACCTGTGAAGGACGATCAAGAATTTTACATTTTTAAAAATGGCGGCCATTATATGCAGGGGAGCAGAACGTGCTGACAACGTGCACAGCTAGGGATGGTTCTGATCACTTGAGGTTTGATTGTAATCCTACCAGTAGTTTGGTCTGTGATTTTCCGATTTTCAGCTCTGGCGGCCATTTTGTGCAGCCAAGCAGAAAGTGCCAGTGATGTGCACAACTAGGCATGGTTCTGATCTTATCTGTAAAGGCCTAACAAGCTTAATGGGGACAGACATAGAAACGGACGGACATACAACTTAAATGGACTAAGCAGCCATTTCTTTTGTTACTTTCTTTTGTTTAATAGAGGGCCATGGCATCTTATTCTATTGTTACGGAATGAACTCTATAGTTCTCTTCTGTTCTGTTTACAGTTACATTATGGCACCTTAAAATCTTCACTTAAATAGCCCGGACAGACAGATGGCAATGGCAAAAACAATATGACTCCCAAAAATTTTGGGAGACATAATAACATTCATGCTAAATAATATACATACACGAGTACTTGAAACTTGTTTATCTGCACAGATATTAAATCAGGTGTGCATTATTAGGTAAATGGAGAAGATTACCTTACTATGTCAATATGGATTTAAAGATTTTATCATCAAGTGCACATATACACATATAAGCTTTCAAAACATTCCTTTAATGGCCCAAGGTCAGAAAACAGATTTTTAAATATTCTAAATTTAACACCACATAATTTCAAATAAAATGCATAAATAACATATTGTGGGCTTAAATTGACTGAAACTATGTATGTACAGTATGTAGGTATGTATGTACTATGTTTAGTATTTTACACAATATCTTTGTTAACAGGCTTTTAAAAAACAAGAACACATGCAGCCAAAATTTCAATTGTTATAATATCTAGTTCCAAATTTGTTTGCACAAACCATTTTTTTGTTCTAAATTCAAGGCCCTTAAACTATTCAATGCTTATACAAACCATTTTTATACAAAGTTCAAGGCCCTTAAACTATAATTCAGTGTTAACCTTTTGCAAATTACATATTAAATTTTGTAGCCAAGATAATGATTAGATATTGTGAATTTTTTTTCCCCCCAAGTTCAAGGGGGATAACTGTAAAAACAAGAGGGCCATGATGGCCCTGAGGTCGCTCACCTGTATATAGCCCCCCCCCCCCGGCCAATTTTTACCTAAGGCCTTTTATTTGTTTATTTGAACAAACTTGGTAGACACCCATAAGAAGATGTTACATGCTGAACATCTAAGTTCTAGCTCATTGGGTTTTTTAAAAGAAGATTTTTAAGTTTTTACTATACACATATAGTTAAAAACAATGACACCCCTGGGGCAGGGCCAGTTTTGACCCCCGGGCTTTTATTTGAACAAACTTTGTAGATATTTACTTAAAGATGTTTCATGCTTAATATCTTAGCTCTAGCTCTTTGGGTTTTTTAAAAGAAGATTTTTAAGTTTTTGCTATACACATACAGTAAAAACTCCGAAAACCGGACCCTCTGAAAACCGGAATCCTCTGAAAACCGGACTATTTTAAAAGTCCAGTATTTTCTCCCTATATGTTCATTGAAAAAAATCCTCTGAATACCGGAACCTCTGAATTCCGAAAACCGGACGATTTTCTATGATTTCTAATGCTAAACATGCATAAAAAATCCTCTGAAAACCGGACAGCAATTTAAAGTGTCAACTTTCTGTGTCCTTTAATGTAGATCTGAACATAATCTCAACAGGTGACATATTCAATTACCAGCAAATGGTCATATCCTTTTAACTATGCAGGTGTGAAAACACTTGTCAGTGCACGTTAATTTCTTATTGTCAATTAAATTATAGCTCTTTAATCATATTTGTGTCTTTCCTCATATAGATAT